ATTTGAAACATACCAAGGCATATAAATGGCCTAATCTCATGTCGTTTACCATCGACTTTTTGACACTTTGCAAGTTTTCTATGTTCGAACTCACACCAATCTGACAGTACCACGTCAATAGGAGGAGAGGCGACGACTGCGGTTATGTTTCTTTCTCTGTATACTTTCTTACAATAATTCAAGATCGACAATTCATCCTCAAGGCAATCCTGAGTAAAATCCGTCACCCAAAACTCATTGTTTAAATAAATGGCCGGTTTACCACACTCAAATGCTACTGAATACAAAGAGTGACCCAGAACGATGTAATTAGAGAAAATCAAAAAGCCGAGGAAGTTGAAGAACATGATGGGCTAGAAAACGATATTCGGACAGTTAAAATGTCTGGAATACAAATTTGTCAGACAAATCCAAAGAGGAAACAGATTTGCTAGTAAGAACATAACAAATTAGGTCAGCCAAGTAACAGTTTTAGCCTGAAAATATAAGACAAACAAAACGACTTTAATGAGCCTCAGAATAACTCCACTCCATGCACATGAAAGCGTTATGTGGTCAAAAAAAAATCAGATCAAGTGCCTAACCATATATTGTGACTAGACAATCTAATGAAAGCAGGGAAACCCGCCAAACTTAGGAGTTTTAAAGCAACCGCTTATAGAGTTCAAGCGAGCTACCGACCGGATAAAACAACTGTACCCTAAAACAATAACTGAATTTTCTGCCACTTAAACTTCAAGGACAACAACCGCAGCTCTTAGATCTTTAGAGTGTTGAGATGCTTAGTGACAAGATTTATTTAGGGTTCTTATTAAAGAAATGTCTTATTCATGCAATAATATAAAACTCTACCCCCATGTTTTGAAGAATACTCAGTATTGGTTCTTTAGAATTGCAAACATATTCTTTCTGTTCACGGCAATTTTATGAATCTTTCTAAGTTCTATTTCCAATGTACATAATACGTTTTCCTGAAAGCAAACATGTGGATAAGCAAAACTACCCAAAACTATGGCTGAATTAAGTAAAGAGGCCTACTAACAAAGAATGATCCCGTAAAACATTTTAACCTATCTATTTCGTTTGGCTTGGAACTTGAAGTAGTGAGATCTCCATGGGCCTGATATCTGACTCCGTTTGATGATCAAGTGAACAGACAACGAATACACCATGAAAATGAAGTATCTGTTTAACTTCATGTGTACTGATAACAAAAACACATTTGGGCGACGGCATTGATTCACTCATATGGACATTAAGATGAGAAGTGAAGCATAGAAATCAAAGGTGCCTATTCGAAATGCAGCCCACTACAAGCGTTATTATGGCATAAAAAAGAATGGCACGTAATGTAACGAGGAAACAGGTACTAGACATAACAACTAGTGTACACACACACAAGGGCACACAACGCCTACAGTCTTAAAATTACAGGAAGATGAATATTTTTCCCCATGTATGTTAAAAGACAGTTTCCTGTGGAAAGAAAGAATAAGGTTTTTATGAAGATAAAATTGACTCAACAGTACATACTCTCTGAGGTTTTGGAGTCTGTTTGAAAGCTAGGATAAATGATGCACTTGTGTGCGTATTTAACGATAAATTACACGAGAAAGATGTACTAGGCATGTTTGACGTTCTATTATTGTTCACAAACATCTTATGGGTACATAGGTGTTGTGAAGTAATTATTTCGGGTTTCTTCAAAAGTGCAATAATACACAAGTTATAATAATGTTAGCATTATATGTGCTATGATTCAAAAAGCGAGTAATAATAATAGAATAATAATAATAAGTCAGGTTCTGTGTAATTGTGAAGGATATTAAATTGAGTTTAAAGGAAATGGAGAAAGTAAGGGAACGGTGAAAAGGGACGTGAAATGCGCAAATAGTTTAATAGGAGTGTTTATGAACACCGAACAAGGATAAAGGACTATGTATATATCGTCAAATTAGTAACAAGAATAAAATAGAAAATAACTGAAAAGACATAACTCATTATTGCATTGTGATGTGACGCTAGAATAAGTGTTTGTGCCGTCATAGTTTGGAGTGATGCTATGAAAGTCACAATGAGGTGAGAAGGGTAACCAAATATCAATATGTATGAGTCATATGAACATAATGAAGATAAAACGAGTCTGAGAAGTTATCCTAAAAACACTATTTTATCTGCGGCATAATGGTAGCGGAGAGACGAACTTACGGAGCCGCAATATCGTCCTTTAAAGAGAACAACGAAATGTACGGTTTATGTATATGTGTTGAACATCCATGTGACCATAGGCGAGCCAACATGCGCATAAAAAAGGACACGCACTCATAGTAAATGTGAGAGTATAATACAGTAAAATGCTAGCACCAATAACTCAAGAGTGTGAGAACAAAGTATGGTAAATCGTCTATTGTTTATGAGTATGACAGAATAATAAATATCAGAAAATGATTGAGGCAGTACTTTGTCATTAAGAGAACATGTCTGTAGTGCTAGTGTAGTGCAAAGATCAAACATACTTGTGTGCGCGCATGTTTTTATAGACCACAGTGGAGTAAATCGGCTGATGCACATACATAGAATGGATTTTTTATGTTGAAGATATATATATATATATATATATATACACATATATATATATATATATATAACGAACGTGTGGGAACAACCATAAACTCTGGGTTATAATTTACTATGCATTAGGGGAGCATTGTCATTGAAATGATTGGAGGATTCCAGAGAGCAGTGAATGATGCACACTGCAGTTACATATGTGTTAACAAATAGGTGAGATGAGCTGCTTGTTATCCATGGGATACGGATGTAACACCTGAAATCCGATGAATGCTAACTAAAATGTACGAAACGAGCATCTAACAAGGACATCAAAGTTATCCATATGAGATCACCATAGCTACGAGAATAAATGACGTGTAATCAAAGCGCTAAAAAGATCAGATATTGTAACAGACGGCCAAACACGGTTAAGATGGTCAGTCTTAACGAAAGGTTCAATTTATTCAGCAAAATCCACAAATAATAAAATACAAGAAAGGAAAGAGAAAACATCTTTATGATATGAGAACACAGTAGTAACTTCAGATACATGTATTAGAATGTAATAATAGATTAATCAAACAAAAAAACGTCTGAATGAACTCTCAGGAGGAAAACTTCACGTTACTGAAAAACAGTTCAATGTGTTGTTTATAACATTATAGTTTGATAAACAAGAAAATTAAATATGTGAATTTCACAATATAATCTCAATACGAATATTTATATTAATTGTAGAACCCTACATGGAAACTAGACGCTGACACAAATGAAAATAATGATATTTTGTAACAAAACAGTCCACGAGCTACATAAACCAAAACCATTAGTTCGTATTTGATATGCAGTGGAAATAATTAGATTCCTGAACGTGGATTTTTGTACATTGCTTAAGGAACATACGACATGCTTATAGAATAATTGATTGAATCGGTATTGAGCGCATTTGTTCTTATCATAAGATAGATAAACTATCACTACAGACCGTGGACGCCAGCTCGAATCTGGAGTTTTCCGTTGTCTGACTAAACTTTTGGGAATCACACGATTCTGAATGACCGTCTACCACCCACAAGCAAACGGGTTAGTAGAACTCCTTCACCAACAACCCAACCAACTTAAGCTGTTACAAGCTCCACTATCAGCTGCAAACTTTTCACAGTGGACCGACGCTCTTCCACTCGTCTTACTAGGTATTCGCAATGCAGTGAAAGCTGACATTGGATACACTGCAGCTGGACTCGTCCATGTAATTACACTTAGACTTCCAGGAGAATTCCTGGATCCTTCATCTTCTTCACTGAATATGGATCTAACCTCCTACATGAACGCCAATAATTCACTTGTTTTTCGTTTAGGATATGATAAATTGAAAACAGTTAATGATTATTCTTATGCGTAGAATCTTAAAAATTGTATATACTATTCTGCCCAATACATACGAGAACTCCGGTCATAACTATTATCTTATTTAAAATACTAATTTGTAGCAATACATTTATGTCTTTTTTCTGATCAAAGTACTTGGAATTTTCCAGAAGTCATGATTTCTAACTATTCAATCAACAATAAAATTCTGGTGAAACTTGAAAGGAAATGCTCAGGGATTTCATGAAATGTTGAGTGCTGTTTTTGATAACAGTGCGCTGAAGGTAATAGGCCTTTCAAGTAAATTAAAAACTTCATCAAAAATGATGAGAACTGAATGGAAAATATGCAGTCACGGGAACTGTAAAAGTAGTAATAAAAAAGCCTGGTTTTCAGGTATTCTAAAGATATTTTGAGATTTGGGAATGGGAGCAAGGTTACTGTCACAAATAGGGCATATTATTAGATGATGTACCGTAATTATCATAAAACAATGTTCTTATAATAGTGAATATTTTGAACCTTGTAGTATTAGTAGTTTTTGTGATTGTAGATTACTGTATTCGGATAAACGCAAGCAGAAAATTTTCCGGTATTAAATAAAGAATCAACCCAACACCTTACTGTTTATTTAGATAATTTAACAGGTGTATCTATAGCTTCGGTACACTTGCCATAGTTGCTACGCCACACATGTTATTATAATTACGACGTATTCTTACATAACCATCTTCTCCCCATGATGTCCCCCAACTATTTTTAATAATCCAGTATTGTACACCGTTTTCTTCTCCATATCCCACAATCATCTTAGCCTTCTGCTTCCAGGTTTTCCACTTCGGATTAGTGTTCCATACTACTTATATCGATAGATATAAGTAGTATGCATCACAAAAGCTTAAAATAATTCAACGTAGGCACATCTGCAGCAGTTTACTTTGTATTTTATCAAATCAAGCATGAACTCTATGTTCATGTGCAAAATGTTTATACCCTTATTCTACTATGGTCCTAATGCATAATTTTTCTTACATTGGAATATGTCATTATCAAATGCTTTTTCTTGTTTTAGGTTTTTTCTAAATTAACTACATGTAAAGTAACTCTCATATTTCTCATGTATTAACCATTTTAAACTTATGATTTCCTATTATCTTCAAGCCATTGATTACGATAGTCACGCGGACCCCAACCAAGTAGTCTGCATCTACCAACATGGCGAAAACCAGAAGTTAGTGACTTCAAGCACTGATGTTACGTTTTGGTTTGGCCGCCCCTAACTTTCTTCTAACTATCTCCATCACTAGTCAGCCTGGCGCGTCGTGGTAATCGGTTTTCAGGCATAAGTAACACGCGGCCCAACCATCTCAGTCGATGAAGATTCACAACCTCACCAACTGATTTACCATGATTCTCTAATATTCTGCGTCTAACCTCATTATTACTTACCCGGTGATCCCATTAAATGCGACTAAGTTGTAAACTGTTGGAATAATTGTAGTTGTTTTCATTTGATGAGAATTAGAAAATTCTTAAATAAATAAATCATGAGAAAATAAGGATAAAAAAGTACGTCAGTAGAGTTTTTTTAAATTTTGACTTCATATTAATAATAAACACTGAAAACGTCTATAATTCATCTCAAAATGGATACCTGGATCTTAATCGTCTGAAGTAATTATTCAGTAAATAGGTAAACTATCTACCAACCCATTCAATGAGGTATAATGAGGGATGTAACAAATAAAATGAGCGAACATATACAAGAACTGACCAGCTACAATTTGCACAGTTGCACGGGTACTAACATTTACTTAATCATGTACAAACAAAAGTAACGCCACTACATTACTCACACAATGTCACTAAATGTGAACATGCTTTTAGGAAGAATGATGATTGGTGAAGAAAATGGGAACCTGTTGGCTCCAACGACAGTCAGTCCAAGAAACTTTACAACTGAATCACGACTAACATGGCCGGTAAGAGTAGAGGATATCCGTAGGTGTCTTCGAAATATTGCTCGCATATCCTGGGACCATCGAGTAAGTAACACAGTTGTTAGGAAACGGGTACTAGGTAAGGATGGCAAATCAATTGATGACGTAGTGAAACTTCATCAGTTGAGATGTCTGGGACATGTGTTACGTATGCCCAACGACCGACTGCCTCGATATGAGATGTCCAGTGGTATAGGAATAGGTTGGAAGAAAGCTAGGGGCGGCCAGACCAAAACATGGCACAAGTTCATGAAGTCACTGATAAGTGGACTGAGTCATGTTGATAGGTGTAGACTACCTGGTTGGGGATCACTAGATGATAGCAACCGATGGTTAGAGACCCTAAATGACATGGCTCAAAATCGTTTGCAATGGCGCAGGTGCATACACTCTTTGTGTTCTCCCAAATTTTGATCTCCTTATTCCTCCTTGTCTCTTTTTTTCTCTTCCCAAATTTATTTCACCGTATTATACTATTTAAATAACATCTCCAAACACTAATTTTCCCGATTACTACTTATACTTTTACTACCTTTACCACTATGGGATTTGAATCGACCACTGCATCTCTGTGCTAATGTGGTGTGGCAACTCGAACTGATGTGCATACGTACGAAGTTCTACGTTGTTACTGACTGACTGACCGAAGACGAAAGATAAGTGAATCAAGCTCTGAATTTGTTAGTTAAGTATTATAACAAACTACATGGATAGAATATTTTGTAATATAGATAAATGTTCATCCAGTTCTTTTACAGTCACACATTGTTATATAATCAAATCATATTAAACAGGCTTAGAATAACATCTAGATAGGAGACTGTTCAGAATGTCAATCACAATTGTTCAGTCAACACAAGTACTGTGTACCTCATCTCCCAAAAGAGATGAAATCACCTAATACCAAAGATCACATATCAGTGATTTGTTTCACAGAAATCGAAATACTTAATAAGATAACAAATAAATAGGAAACAAAATATCTAAAAATTAATACAAAATTATAGACGAATAGATATTTCGCATATTATTAATATTTTAGAAGAAACGATAAATTTTAAAATGATAGTATAAATATATTCTTGGTAATTTCAATAGTTTACTTTTATTTTGATTGCCTCCAAAAAGATGATCTGCCAACATTTTTTGTCTCTTAGGTGGCTTAATCCAACTTTTGTTCGATTTGTTGGTCGTCAGCTTGTCTAAATATAACGGTTCTAGATGATGACGATGTTTGGCTATAATCTTTTCAGCTTTTAATGATGCCTGTTCTTGAAATGTAGGCAGTTTAATCATATCTGGTAAGGTAATATCGGCGAATAAAACAGCTTTTGACTGAGCTTCCAATTTGCGATATTTGTTATTTCGAAGATAATTTGCATAAGTTAACAAAGATGAGTTTAGTTCTGGATGCTACAATGTCGGTAGACAAAAAAGAGGTTAGAACTATCGATACAAGAAATAAATATAGAGAACAGTATATATATATATATATATATATATATATATAGTAAATGGAATGTAGCTAGCAGTAGAATCCTAGCTCCGATTTACGATATATTTAATATGGTGATCCTTTATACTCCTACTCCCCACGGTTATTCTGGAACACAAATATAGATCCGAAGACTAATTGGAATTTGCAAGGGCTCTTACTGGGAAATTTACTTATTTTCACAAGATTAAGATCACTACTCAATTAATTCATGCCATTGAGTCTACTTGGCCATCATTAGTTTTTTCATCTACTCTTATGAATGCTAGGACAGAAAATCGAAGTGAAAGCTGGTTGGGAAATTTGTTACACCTCCCCAACCAACTCGGGCTGACCAATAAACCCAGCATTTCTACCTATAATTCTACAATTACGCCATCACTACCCAATTGTTGACTCCATAACGAATGAGCAACCTTATAAATACATTAATGACCACGTGCCTTCTGGTTCCATAGATAACGTCACACACTCAGTCATTCACGACGTAGAACATGGCACTAATGTGTAAAAGCTATGGTTGCCACACTACTTCAGCACAGTAAGATAAGTTTAACAAGATGAAACCCAAGGTATTATCCATGATAGTAGAAAAAAGATCTAGAATAAATAAGACAGGTTCGGAGAGATGAAAGAATATAAATTGAAATTTCGCACAGTATGATGGCTTTCCGATAATTAGATGGATATATTGTCTGTGACTCAGGTAGCGTAAATCAGTAAGAACCTAACGAGCTGTTAGTATACATCGCAAACTTTTATCAACTGATAGGAAATGCTACTATATCAATGAACCGATCAACACCGATGATCATTTCATTCCCTATCATTACAAATTAGGCACTGATAATAATATGTAGTTAGTACAACTGCATCTTATCTCTTTCACTTGATTTTTATGGCCACACTTGTATTGTTTTAGATTGACAAGGATTAAGTTTGCGAATATATTACACGAAAGTAACCGACGTCAAGATTAATTACAATGCCAATGGAATTTAAATACCTCGAACTATCAAATAACTGCAACTAATAAAAAGACTTAAGATGAATAAATTTATATCACTTATAACATTAAAGTCTAGGAGTCAAACATTCGTTTGACGACTAGAACGATAGTTGTATTAGTGAAAATACTTACCAGATTTATTTTTTCCAAACTTTTATTAAGCAAAATATCAAGTTCAACCAATCTGTCCTTAATAGATGCTAATTGTTGAGCAGCTTCAGGTAGCTCCATATTGCGTAAATGTTCGAATCGTTTAACATAGTGACTGCGGTCATGTTCAACAACTCGGAATAAACGCTTTAGCGTTTCAAACAGTGTGAAATTCTGCGGGTCAGTGGTATTGAAAATAGGCAAAATAAGGCATACTTTACACTCACTAAATTGATTCTTTGTTTTTAGATAACAACTACGAAAGTAGTAAGCATAAAAACACTATTAGACAAAATCATTTGGATTTGGAAATATACGTATATAACAATTCCTGATCACATTTTTCATAACTACTCGGTCAACAAATCAAATAAGACATGTGAAAATTAAAATATGCCTGGTAAAAACAAGACCACTGATTTATTTGCTTAACAAATTGTAACGCTATCTGTGATTAAACTGTATTTTAGAGGATATGCTGAGGGAAGAGTAGGAAAAATTAATTCATGAATTTTTCATTATTTTTTGGGAACTTGATTAGTATACGATTTAGTGAGCACAGCTTTGAAAACGTTAGATTTACCTAAGAGGGAGCAAATAAACTATTTCTTTTACCAAAACGTTCTTGACAGCAAGACCAATATCTATGTGATTGCAGTGATCAAGTCGACGGCGATTCACTGATTAAAGCATTAAGCTTGTATCTACGCAGTCACAGGTTCGAGCCCCGTTCCACCCGCTCCCGATAGTATCATCAGCCCTAATATATAGTGTTTAGAAACCAAACACACAGATCTGCACTTGATGAGTTAATTCACCACAATAAAACATTTTATTGTCATTTTGTATTTATCAGACGGTAATCAGGCCCTATTATCCTCTAACAGTTTTTCATGATTATTATTCAACTGTTTTTATGACATTTCTGTTGCTCGCTTTTCTTCATATCTGTCAAGTCGACAATTATCTCATATTTTTAGCCCGTAAATAATTCCCATAACCCTTTGTTTACGAAACCGAATTTCGATATTCGAAATATCAAATCACTTTATGATCTCTCCTATCTATTTATAGACTGATATTTTATCAAACAACCATAAATACCAATGTACAGCTTAAGTGAGTGATTTCGTCGAAAATAAAATTTTCTTCGCTGAATCATCTTTATTCAATTATACAACGGGTTACTTTAATAATAGTAATAATAATAATACCTTGATAGTAATGATAATACATTGGTAATATAGCTCAAATTTCAACCAAATTCATCCATGACTAATAAAAATTAGTTATATGACACGAGTAAACATTCTATGTAGTACAATGTAAAACAATAAAAACAAAATTACTTCTGTGTGAAAACTCACATTTGGATTTTTAATATTCACAGCCTTTTCCCATGCATTCTGCATTGCATTTCTGCGTTCAAGCATTTGGGCTTCAATTCTCTGATGATGAATTGTTTCCAAAGTCTCCCGATCTCGTTCCGACTGATTTTCCAATTTAATAAATTTACTCCAAAACTCCTTACGAAAATTAACAAAAGGTATCAAAATAACCATTCAAAATGCTTAGCACAGTTTAATGACTCATAAAGAGTTAATGAATGAAGGTATTTATATCATATTCTCAAAAGACTTTCTAAAAAAAGTACAATTTTCAGTCAATAAATTTTAACATATAAAAGTTGCTTAATCCAGTTTAATCTTTCGGTAGTGAATTTGTAAAGTAACTTTTTTCATATCCTTTGATAGCTTTATAATTAAGTAATTGTAAAGAAAAAAACAGATGTAATAAAACTTTTCCTTCGTTAATTTTGCTAATACTGTTTCATTATGAGACTAATCGAAGTGACGTGAATATTTGTTGTATTTATGTGTGGAAGAAAAATTAGACTCAATAAAATAAATAAGTGAATATGAAGAATTTTTCGAAAAGCCCTTGAAATAAAAGTACCAGAAATAGTTCAGATATAGCTGTTTTAAAAGAACTCAACAATATAGCTGTTATCCTCGAAGTATTTTGAAAGTAGTATTACATTACCTATTTCCTGGTTCCCTCAAACCAATCAAAGAATATTCATCCGACCCAAAAGGGAGTAAGAAATTAACACTAGGAACCAGAAAACAGGTACTCTTACCATACATGTAAAACATTTCAACGATGTTGAGAAATTCAAAAACAAGTGCAGCCACAAGCTCATAATCCAACCCATACCATATAATCCACATCAAGGACAGAACAAATATGATTTATAAAACAAGCTGCAGCAACTGGAAGAAACGTTACACCAGACAACATGGTCACCATCTTTGTGTATGAATATATATCACCTAAGTCATAAGCTGTGAAAAACCCGGCTTAAGTTGCCACACCACAACAGCACAGCGAGACGGAGTTGCTCAGATAAGTGCATAAATAACTGTTAACACGAAGTCGACTGAGGCGTTGAAATATTGGGCAGGTGCAAAAACTGGACCATGGAATTTCAGGAGGTTTGGAACTTAAGTCACTAAGGAATCAGCAAGCAAATTAGGATATAACCCACGACTTAAGAGTGATCTCAGTGGAGTGGCTGGATTTATTTGCTATCACCCTCTGAATAACAAGTTTGGTGTAATCTCAAATTTATCATTCAGTTTTCTTAGTTTCGATTGAACTATGTTTATCTTCGTAATTTTCTATTAACATTGATACTATTTCCCTTTCCGTTCTTCTGAACTTGTTAATTTTCTCTTGCACTATCCCAATGTAAAGTGTAGCAACTCCGACTGATAAGCGTTCAAGCCAGGTTCTGTGTTACAACAGAGACTCAATCAATTGGTCACTAGTAAAAATGATAAATAGCTACAAGACTAGGCTCGGAAGGAAAATAAACAAGATATAAGGATAGATAATGATGTCGTAATTATTGGGAAACACCCGTTGAAAGCATCATAGATACACCACGCCAATATAATTATTATTTATTATTATACAGTCCACAGGAAAAATTGCTAAACATAAAAATCCCGTGTTTACATTTGACAAAGAACCACTGCTTACCGATAGTGTACTGAATCACAAAAGCCGTGTGAAGGTTGTTAATTAGACTCCTTTATCCAACTTAAATGAAACCAGTTTAAACTGATGACCCATTTAATGAGGGTTACCTATAGTAATCAATAAGTCACAGTTTTCCGAGACTAGTCATATGAATAAACGCAATACATTTTAGAGCAAAACAACAAGAGCAACAATAACAGAAAATTACTGTAGCAAATTATGGTACAAATCGACACGAAACAAAGAAGTATGAAGTTAAAACGAACAACAACTTAACGACACAAGACAGTGAAAAATTAGGGTTGAACTAAAGAAACAACTTTGTTGCTCACTTGAACTAAACTGTCCTCCTCGAGCTGACTTTTAACTGGTTCGTTCAGCCAGTCTTCAGGTGAAATCAGTGATTCTTCACTTGAAAATTCTTGCTCTAGCACTTTTTCCCGTTTGTGTAAGTCATTACTCAATGCTAATTTAGCTTGACTATAACGTTCACGCTCAGGTATTAATAAACCAGAAGAAGAATTTTGTTTCGCGGATGACAAATAATTAGTGACAGTTTTGTCACTATCCCAGGCATCATTCTCGGTGGAAGTTAATTTATTACCCAAGCGATTGAGTTTATGGGACATTGAACTGGTCTTGTTTCCAAGGTTGGTAAGTGGTTTCATAACGACAGCAGAATCTAAAATCAACATCCAATAGATAAAACTAATATATATATATATATATATATATATATATATATATATATATATATATATATATATATATCCCGACCGTTGTTGCTACCTTGACGTGGTGGTCGGGCTTGCCTATCGTGATGAAGCAACCGAGCTATACTGGCTGGAACAACCGTTCCTCAAGGTCCTACCATGTCAGACAGGTCGGTTGAAGAGCGGTAAGACTAAAAGCAACAAACCCAAGGTCCGAAGGCGAAGTCGTACTGCTGACTGTACAGAGGTGTGACGGCAGTAAGGTGTTTCCTTCAGACAACCAGCATGACAGCGATGCTGCCTTCCCACAAGGAGGGGTGGGGTTAGAAAAGGTCGACCCTAAAAATGCACACCTCGCCTTATCCCACGGATATCCGTCTCCGGCGGTAAGGTCTCAATAAGTACGGAGCTAACACAAAAATTACCCATAACAAGGTCGTGTGTGACCGACCTCAAGCAGTTGTCCCTTGGGCACTGCGGTCACGCTCTCAGGTCACTAAGACCACCTTTAATCCAATTTCCTTTTCAGGTACCTCCAGAACAACCCTTCCACGGTGTGGGCAACCGGGAAGTGATAACCGCCCTCATACCTCTAACAGCACTCAAGACCACTGTATTCATAATCAACCTTCCTCCTCAATTCCTGTTATTCCTCCTACATCGACTTTCAACTTTAAATTTCCTCTCTCGGCTTCCACCTCAAGTGTCACCATAGTCAACGATTCTAGTGCGCAAAATACTGTCCCAGGTCTACTGAAACCTTGCTCCAAACTACACATTGGAGCCTTCAACGTACGAACCCTATGTCAAATCGGTCAGCAGGCTTCCTTGGCTAAAACCCTAGAGTCTCTTACCATTGACGTGTGCTGTGTCTCCGAAACACGCATACAGGATTCCAGTGTGGTCATTCACTTGACCTCACCTCGGCAAAACGGAGAGCCAACGAGGTACACCCTTCGTGTATCTGGTGACCCGATGGCAAGTTCTCGTGGACTGGCAGGTGTAGGCATAGCACTAAGCATGAGGGCGGAACAAGCACTGCTAGAATGGATCCCCGTCAACAGTCGTCTATGTGCTGTTCGGCTGAACGGCTACATAAGAACTCGGAAGGATAGGGACACACGTCGTTGCCTTTTTGTCGTTTCTGCCTACGGTCCCACTGACTGCAGCTCAGATGATGTGAAAGATGAATTTTACAGAAAGCTGTCCGAACTTCTTCAGAAAGCTAAACGCTCAGACATAGTACTCGTAGCAGGTGATTTTAATGCTCAGATAGGCAGTTTAAACCAAACAGAAAGGCATTTAGGTGGATATTATAGTATTCCGACACAGCGAACAGATAATGGTGATCGTCTGCTGCAGCTATGCTCAGACAATCGTTTATTTTTAGCAAACACAAATTTTAAGCATAAGGAGAGACATCGTTTAACATGGCGACCCCCTACACCAAACCAACGATGGACTCAAATAGACCATATTGCCATCAGTCATCGTTGGAGAGGGTCGGTAGAAGACTGTCGCTCATTCTGGAGTACCTGCTTGGACTCCGACCATGCCCTAATACGGGCTCGCATCTGCTTGCGCCTCACTGGACGCAAAAAAGCCACATTAAAAAGACCCGTTAGAACTGAGTTGAGTAACGAGAAAACCAAAAGTAGGTTCCAGGAACAACTGAGGTCACAATTAGGTAGTTCTGAAGACGAGGCTGACCCAGATGTTGCTTGGAAGGGCATACAATCAGCTGTGGAAACAGCAGTGACATCTATTAGTGACTTAAACCACAGAGTTGCAAGGAACCAGTGGATTTCTTCAAGGTCTGTCACACTGATGGATTCTCGCAAACTCGTCCCATCAGGTTCTGAACATGATGAAGAGCGAAAACAAATCAGATCTAGGTTAAGAAAAAGTCTAAGAAACGACCGTGAGCAGTGGTGGGCATCGAAAGCAAAAGAGATGGAAAAGGCGGCGACTATAGGGAACACAAGACAGCTTTACAGACTAATAAAAGAAACTGGAATTAATAAGTCAAGTGTAAGTGAGATTATATCGGAAAAAGACGATACACTCATCTGCTCCAAGTCCAGGCGTCTAGAACGATGGGCGGAACACTTTAGGGAACAGTTCAACTGGCCTTCAGCGACTCTACAACTACCCTCCATTCCCAGACAATGTGAATGGAACATTGAAGTAGGTCCCCCAACTCTTGCTGAAGTTCAAAAGGCTATAGTTAATCTGAAACGAGGAAGGGCAGCTGGTCCAGATGGATTGGCTCCAGAGGTCTTTAAGGATGGTGGTCCAATTTTAGCGATTAAGTTGACTAATATTTTAGCTAAGATCTGGGAATTAGACTTTATCCCATCTGACTGGTCGCAATCACTTATCGTCCCAATATATAAGAAAGGGTCAAAATCATCCTGTGACAACCACAGAGGGATTAGTTTAACAAACATAGTATCTAAAATACTGGCCTCGATAATTATCAAACGCCTAACTAAGACTCGTGAACTACAAACTCGAGAGAACCAAGCTGGCTTTAGACCTGGTCGTGGCTGCATCGACCACATATTCACCATTCGTCAGGTTCTAGAACACAGGCATACTTATCGGCGTCCGACGATGGTGGTATTTCTTGACTTAAAAGCAGCATTTGACTCGGTAGACCGCGAGACTCTGTGGCAGTGTCTGTCATTGAAAGGCGTACCCCAGAAGTACATAAACCTTGTGAAGGCTCTTTACTCGAACACTACTAGTCGAGTCAGGGCTTATGGCGAACTGTCATCTACCTTTGCAACCTCAAGTGGTGTCCGTCAAGGCTGTCCACTTTCTCCATTTCTGTTTAACTTCATCATAGACCTATTGATGGAAATAACACTCTCGTCGACTGAGTTCTCGGGTATTGATCTCCTTCCAGGCGGTCCACTTATCGACTTAGAATACGCAGATGACATTGTCCTGTTTGGTGAAGACGCTGAGAAAATGCAGAGTCTTCTGGTAGCACTAAGCAACAATGCCAGAATGTTTGGGATGCGCTTCTCTCCCTCTAAATGCAAGTTGTTGCTTCAGGACTGGTCTGGGTCAACACCTGAACTAAGGATAGGGAGTGAAGTAGTTGAACGCGTTGACAACTTCACTTATCTTGGAAGTCTGATCAGCCCTAATGGGTTGGTGTCTGACGAAATCTCAGCACGGATTCGAAGAGCTCGGTTGGCTTTTGCCAACTTACGTCACCTTTGGCGAAGGCGAGATATCCGTCTATCAATAAAAGGACGAGTATACTGCGCGGCAGTTCGTTCTGTTTTACTTTACGGTAGCGAAACATGGCCATTAAGAGTAGAAGACACTCGTAAGCTACTAGTGTTTGACCACAGATGCCTCAGAAATATTGCTGGCATCTGCTGGGATCACCGGGTAAGTAATAGTGAGGTTAAACGCAGAGTATTAGGGAATGATGGTAAATCAGTTGATGAGGTTATGAATCTTCATCGACTGAGATGGCTGGGCCACGTGTTACGTATGCCTGAACACCGATTACCACGACGTGCAATGCTAACCGGGGTAGGGGATGGTTGGAAGAAAGTTAGGGGCGGCCAAACCAAAACGTGGCATCAGTGCCTGAAGTCACTAACTTCTAGTCTGAGCCATGTTGGTAGATGCAGACTACTTGGTTGGGGTCCGCGTGACTTTCGTAACCAATGGTTGGAGACTCTTGGTGACATGGCTCAGAATCGATCACAATGGCGTCGGTGTATACACTCCCTGTCTTACCTTAAACTAAGAGACTAAAATCACTTCATTCTTTCTGTCTACGAACTAATTCTTTCTTCCTATACTATATCCTTATTGCAACCTTTGACCTAACCACTCCTATGAATCCGGTGTTCATCTTGCTGTGCTAATGAGGTATGGCAACCTGGACCGATGCACATATGTGCCTGGTCCTACGTTGTAGCTGACTGACTGACTGACTGATATATATATATATATATATATATATATATATATATTTATATATATATTTATATATATATATATATATAAGTGCGACAACGTAGATTCTTCACGAGCTAGCTTTGGTATCCAACATTTTGAACAAACTTTAATCTCAACAGCAAAATTAAGTGAGATATGTATTATCATCAAAACACTGGTTGTAGGCGGAAACGATTTTACTTGTACATCGATACTATGTCTACACTTTTGTAAAAGAGCCACTAATTAAGTGAGGATTTCAAAAAGTAAAAAATCTATTAAATAAGAACCGACGCTGTGCTAGTAAGAAGATTTACAACGAACAGACCCCTAAAATAGGGAGCTAATTTCTGGATACTCGAGATAGAACTAACAGCAGTTTGATGAATGACAAGTTCGAGCCTTGCTCCATGCAATTTAGGTTAGGGAACTAGGTAGTGTCACCACTCCTTACACTTAGAGTACGATTTGAAGCTAAGAATATTAATCTGTGCTACATTTTAAAAAAATCATATGCTTGATGTTGAGACACGCTCTGTGAAGGTTAATGATACTACCAAGCTGGCCAAACCGAAGTGCGGTGGACTCGGGTTTGCAACCTTGCGAATAAAAGTCAAAAGTCATAAACACTAAGCTACTAAAAATTAGGCGGCCAGAGCATGGAGCAATTCTATGAAGAAGAGGATGGACTGCTAATTCGTTAAGATAGTAAAATGAATTCCAATTTGCCTGCGAGATAAAATGATAACATGGCAATTAATTGGTTTGGTTTGCAAAGAAACATCAAGCATTTACGCTAACTTAACATCTAAGTGAGAGCGTACAGCCAACGAATCAATAGCGATGAAATAATCGTAGTTCTGTTACTATTAAGCTAAATGAACTGTATGAAACAATAATATAAACGATATTCCAGAGAAGTGATTGAACTGAAGGAAAACAAAGCCTTTAGTCTAACAATCCTACAAGTAGCATAAACTATCCCCGATTAATGAAATGCTGTGGTTCAGAAGCGTCTGTATAGTGTTTAAAAACGGGATTATTTTTTACATTTTAAGAAAACTATTTGGGTGGTACTTTATGCTGATAATATGTTATTGCGTGAAAATAGGATCAACAAGGCTTGAAGCTGAGATAAGCACGAAACAGTTCCTTTATGTAAAGCAGAATAATGTATATCGAACGACGACTCATGTATTATCAGTCTAGTGATCAAGTGAAGATAATTTAATTCAATCTGTACACATTCCAACAGACCACATGCAAAACACACTTACTTGTAAATTCAGAGTCAAGATTTTCACAACACACTACTTTAGCAGCCGCAAAATACATAGAACCAAAGTCCTTTTCTCTGATACAAGGTTTGAATGGTAGATAGCTCTGAAATCGCATGTTGCGTCTCAGGCAAGCTTCTCGGGTGGAATTCTCCCAGAACTTGTAGTTTTCACAGACGTAACTCCGATCATTATCAAGGCTGCTTAACTGACAACCAACAGGAGTAAACAATTTGGACATCGGGATATTATCTACAGAACCAATTTTTCAATAGTAACATTTGAAACATACCAAGGCATATAAATGGCCTAATCTCATGTCGTTCACCATCGACTTTTTGACACTTTGCAAGTTTTCTATGTTCGAACTCACACCAATCTGACAGTACCACGTCAATAGGAGGAGAGGCGACGACTGCGGTTATGTTTCTTTCTCTGTATACTTTCTTACAATAATTCAAGATCGACAATTCATCCTCAAGGCAATCCTGAGTAAAATCCGTCACCCAAAACTCATTGTTTAAATAAATGGCCGGTTTACCACACTCAAAAGCTACTGAATACAAAGAGTGACCCAGAACGATGTAATTAGAGAAAATCAAAAAGCCGAGGAAGTTGAAGAACATGATGGGCTAGAAAACGATATTCGGACAGTTAAAATGTCTGGAATACAAATTTGTCAGACAAATCCAAAGAGGAAACAGATTTGTTAGTAAGAACATAACAAATTAGGTCAGCCAAGTAACAGTTTTAGCCTGAAAATATAAGACAAACAAAACGACTTTAATGAGCCTCAGAATAACTCCACTCCATGCACATGAAAGCGTTATGTGGTCAAAAAAAATCAGATCAAGTGCCTAACCATATATTGTGACTAGACAATCTAATGAAAACAGGGAAACCCGCCAAACTTAGGAGTTTTAAAGCAACCGCTTATAGAGTTCAAGCGAGCTACCGACCGGAAAAAACAACTGTACCCTAAAACAATAACTGAATTTTCTGCCACTTAAACTTCAAGGACAACAACCGCAGCTCTTAGATCTTTAGAGTGTTGAGATGCTTAGTGACAAGATTTATTTAGGGTTCTTATTAAAGAAATGTCTTATTCATGCAATAATATAAAACTCTACCCCCATGTTTTGAAGAATACTCAGTATTGGTTCTTTAGACTTGCGAACATATTCTTTCTGTTCACGGCAATTCTATGAATCTTTCTAAGTTCTATTTCCAATGTACATAATACATTTTCCTGAAAGCAAACATGTGGATAAGTAAAACTACCCAAAACTATGGCTGAATTAAGTAAAGAGGCCTACTAACAAAGAATGATCCCGTAAAACATTTTAACCTATCTATTTCGTTTGGCTTGGAACTTGAAGTAGTGAGATCTCCATGGGCCTGATATCTGACTCCGTTTGATGATCAAGTGAACAGACAACGAATACACCATGAAAATGAAGTATCTGTTTAACTTCATGTGTACTGATAACAAAAACACACTTGGGCGACGGCATTGATTCACTCATATGGACATTAAGATGAGAAGTGAAGCATAGAAATCAAAGGTGCCTATTCGAAATGCAGCTCACTACAAGCGTTATTATGGCATAAAAAAGAATGGCACGTAATGTAACGAGGAAACAGGTACTAGACATAACAACTAGTGTACACACACACAAGGGCACACAACGCCTACAGTCTTAAAATTACAGGAAGATGAATATTTTTCCCCATGTATGTTAAAAGACAGTTTCCTGTGGAAAGAAAGAATAAAGTTTTTATGAAGATAAAATTGACTCAACAGTACATACTCTCTGAGGTTTTGGAGTCTGTTTGAAAGCTAGGATAAATGATGCACTTGTGTGCGTATTTAACGATAAATTACACGAGAAAGATGTACTAGGCATGTTTGACGTTCTATTATTGTTCACAAACATCTTATGGGTACATAGGTGTTGTGAAGTAATCATTCCGGGTTTCTTCAAAAGTGCAATAATACACAAGTTATAATAATGTTAGCATTATATGTGCTATGATTCAAAAAGCGAGTAATAATAATAGAATAATAATAATAATAAGTCGGGTTCTGTGTAATTGTGAAGGATATTAAATTGAGTTTAAAGGAAATGGAGAAAGTAAGGTAACGGTGAAAAGGGACGTGAAATGCGCAAATAGTTTAATAGGAGTGTTTATGAACACCGAACAAGGATAAAGGACTATGTATATATCGTCAAATTAGTAACAAGAATAAAATAGAAAATAACTGAAAAGACATAACTCATTATTGCATTGTGATGTGACGCTAGAATAAGTGTTTGTGCCGTCATAGTTTGGAGTGATGCTATGAAAGTCACAATGAGGTGAGAAGGGTAACCAAATATCAACATGTATGAGTCATATGAACATAATGAAGATAAAATGAGTCTGAGAAGTTATCCTAAAAACACTATTTTATCTGCGGCATAATGGTAGCGGAGAGACGAACTTACGGAGCCGCAATATCGTCTTTTAAAGAGAACAAGGAAATGTACGGTTTATGTATATGTGTTGAACATCCATGTGACCATAGGCGAGCCAACATGCGCATAAAAAAGAGCACGTACTCATAGTGAATGTGAGAGTATTATACAGTAAAATGCTAGCACCAATAACTCAAGAGTGTGAGAACAAAGTATGGTAAATCGTCTATTGTTTATGAGTATGACAGAATAATAAATATCAGAAAATGATTGAGGCAGTACTTTGTCATTAAGAGAACATGTCTGTAGTGCTAGTGTAATGCAAAGATCAAACATACTTGTGTGCGCGCATGTTTTTATAGACCACAGTGGAGTAAATCGGCTGATGCACATACATAGAATGGATTTTTTATGTTGAAGATATATATATATATATATATATATATACATATATATATATATATATAACGAACGTGTGGGAACAACCATAAACTCTGGGTTATAATTTACTATGCATTAGGGGAGCATTGTCATTGAAATGATTGGAGGATTCCAGAGAGCAGTGAATGATGCACACTGCAGTTACATATGTGTTAACAAATAGGTGAGATGAGCTGCTTGTTATCCATGGGATACGGATGTAACACCTGAAATCCGATGAATGCTAACTAAAATGTACGAAACGAGCATCTAACAAGAACATCAAAGTTATCCATATGAGATCACCATAGCTACGAGAATAAATGACGTGTAATCAAAGCGCTAAAAAGATCAGATATTGTAACAGACGGCCAAACACAGTTAAGATGGTCAGTCTTAACGAAAGGTTCAACTTATTCAGCAAAATCCACAAATAATAAAATACAAGAAAGGAAAGAGAAAACATCTTTATGATATGAGAACACAGTAGTAACTTCAGATACATGTATTAGAATGTAATAATAGATTAATCAAACAAAAAAACGTCTGAATGAACTCTCAGGAGGAAAACTTCACGTTACTGAAAAACAGTTCAATGTGTTGTTTATAACATTATAGTTTGATAAACAAGAAAATTAAATATGTGAATTTCACAATATAATCTCAATACGAATATTTATATTAATTGTAGAACCCTACATGGAAACTAGACGCTGACACAAATGAAAATGATATTTTGTAACAAAACAGTCCACGAGCTACATAAACCAAAACTATTAGTTCGTATTTGATATGCAGTGGAAATAATTAGATTCCTGAACGTGGATTTTTGTACATTGCTTAAGGAACATACGACATGCTTATAGAATAATTGATTGAATCGGTATTGAGCGCATTTGTTCTTATCATAAGATAGATAAACTATCACTACAGACCGTGGACGCCAGCTCGAATCTGGAGTTTTCCGTTGTCTGACTAAACTTTTAGGAATCACACGATTCTGAATGACCGTCTACCACCCACAAGCAAACGGGTTAGTAGAACTCTTTCACCGACAACCCAACCAACTTAAGCTGTTACAAGCTCCACTATCAGCTGCAAACGTTTCACAGTGGACCGACGCTCTTCCACTCGTCTTACTAGGTATTCGCAATGCAGTGAAAGCTGACATTGGATACACTGCAGCTGGACTCGTCCATGTAATTACACTTAGACTTCCAGGAGAATTCCTGGATCCTTCATCTTCTTCACTGAATATGGATCTAACCTCCTACATGAACAGGCTTACAAACGCAATGCGTTCACTTAAACCTGTTTCCACTTGACTGCAGTCAACTGATGTAGAAATCGTTTATACGCTATCGCATGTGCATGGGTTTATTTTCCTTTTTTCACCCGCTTTGTGTCTTTACGCATGTACGAGTATAATTCGACATGCACTTACATTTCCTTTTCTTCTTTTTCAGGGCGACTGGAAAGATGATAAAGAACGACGAAATTTTACGACGAACCGAAATTTTCACTGTACCTTGTTTCTTTATTACTATATTGTACTACATGGTCCCTCATAGTAAGGGAAGACAACCAGACTCTGATAAACATAGCAAGCTGTCAGAAGAGTGTTTACCAACGACAAACTCGCTGGGTCAAAGCTTCTTGCTGGCCACGTCTTAGGGTCATCACTACTCCACTAGGGGGAGAGTGATCTGTAGAGGTAAGTCTTTGACATTGGATGCTGACTACATGGACTTGTAACAGCTCAGGTTGGTTGGTTAAGAGTTGACCCCAAACAACCAAGCTTATGCCAAAACAGTATTGTTCAAGTATTCATTCACTTCCTTATTTTTTATAAGCGTTATATTCCCTATTATCTTGAATGTTGAGAGCCTTTGTTTGTCTGAACAGATAATCCCACGCTCCACTGTGACTGCGCGAAGATCGAAATAAAGACTTATTCACTACTTGTCTGGTTTCTTCTATCAATAGCACGAGGGTTACTTCAAGGCACGAAATTGGTGAGCCCTTTTTGAACACAAATTTAACCTCATTTCTGTTATTAACATTTTTTTTACTCAATCGTAAAAGTAGACCTGATTATCCGTAAACTAATTTGAGTATATAACTAGTTTATTCCGTATTATCTTAAGTTATTCGTGTTATAGTAACCACTTTTTGTGCTAACTTTATTGCTATATTTGTCACATACCTCATGTCAGACTCAATAGAAACCCATAATCTGGAGGATTTGTCACCAGTGGAGATAGACACTGTTATGACTACGAAATCCCGACTTCCCGAATTTGATCGTTGTGATCCCGAGTTGTGGTTCGCTAAACTAGAGCATTATTCCACGAGACACAATATCAAATCTGAAGGGATTCGCTATAGAGACTTGTGTTCTATCCTTCCTCCTTCAGTCGCCAAAGAAGTCCGTGACTTGATTTTAAGTCCACCATCACCACAACCATACACCATCTTAAGACGAGAGATAATGAACCGTTTATCATTATCAGATAGTCAAAGAATCCAAAGACATTTTCAAGGTGAAACACTAGGTGATCGGTCGCCGTCACAGTTTTTACGTCACCTCCAAGTCTTAGTGGGTGATAACACAGTGGGTGAAGCAGTCCCAAAACAAGGATGGATACAAGCTCTCCCATGCTACGTCCAACACTGTTTGGATGCACAGGATCCTGAAACCTCATTATCTCATTTAGCGCGTATAGCCGACAGAATAATGGAAAGAGGTCCTCCAACTGGATCAGGCACAATAAATCACACACAAAAAGTAGAATCAGCAAAAGACCCCGTAATAGAAGGACTCATTGCGAGTGTTAAGAGTCTCACTGAGGCTGTCACCAGAATGCAAATGGGTCATAGAAACAGGAGCAGGTCACCACAACGACCACGATCCAAGTCAAAAAACAGGTCACAGATGTCCAGACAATCTGGGCAGTTTTGTTGGTACCACTGGAAGTTTGGTGTCGACTCAACCAAGTGCATGCAACCATGCGCCTGGCCTAAGCATATTTCTAAGACAGCGGGAAACGAGTAACCCCTCCCCAGGTCGCGACGACTGAGGAGGAGCGCCTAAACAGTCGCTTGTTTTATGTTAGAGACAGAAACTGGGGCTTGAATTTCTTGGTGGATACTGGCGCTGCTCTTAGCATCATCCCTCAAAATAAGACTGAGATTAGTCGAGAAACGTCCCCAATTACACTTCAAGCTGCAAATAAAACTAAAATCGCGACATTTGGGCAGAAAACTTTAACCCTAGATTTGGGGTTCAAGAGGCAATTCCCTTGGGTTTTCACGGTAGCCGACTTAGATCTGGCAATACTGGGGATGGACTTTCTAGAGAGATACGAATTTCTAGTTGACACCAAGAAACGGCGATTAACACTAAAAGAAACTTCGTATTACATAAAAGGCAAAGAAAGTCACATCAGCTCTCTTAACTTGATTCAAACTCCCCCAGTAACAACAGCGAAATTCCATGATATACTCGCGGAATTTCCAAACTTAACTAAACCAAACCCACAGCCTTCTAAAGACAAACTAAAAGTGAGTCACACTATCAAAACCGAAGGTGCACCGGTGTTTGCAAAACCCAGGAGACTAGCACCAGATAAGCTCAAAATCGCTAAGGCCGAGTTTCATTATATGCTACAATTGGGTATTATCCGTCCCTCTAATAGTCAATGGGCATCCCCTTTGCATATGGTCCCAAAGATGAATGAAGGTGACTGGCGACCGTGCGGGGACTACAGAGCCCCAAAACCGTCAAACCGTACCAGATAGGTACCCAATACCTCATATCCAAGATTTCACCAACGGTTTACAGGGTATGAACATATTCACTAAAATTGACTTAGTCAGGGCATATCACAATATCCCGGTGGCTGATGAAGATATTCCCAAGACAGCTATTACTACACCCTTTGGCTTATTCGAGGTTGTACGCATGCCATTCGGCCTGAGAAATGCGGCACAGACATTTCAAAGATTCATAGATAACCTACTTCGAGATATGCCATTTGCGCAGGGGTATATAGACGACTTGTTAATTGCCAGCCCCGATTTGCAATCACACGAACAGCATGTACAAGCAGTGTTGAAAAGACTGGATGAACATGGAATAAACATACATCAAAGTAAGTGTGTTTTCGGTGTTCAAACTTTAGAATTTCTCGGTCACACAATAAGCCCAGAAGGGATTAAACCTATAAAAAAAGAAGTGGATACTATCAAACAATACCCCGTACCTAGTTCTCTAACACAACTGAGAAGTTTTCTAGGCCTAATTAACTTTTATCGCAGATTCATACCAGGTTGTGCACAATTAATGCAACCTTTGACAGATTCACTTAAAGGAAAACCAAAAGAATTCAAACTGTCTTCTGACGCCATCGAAGCTATTAAACAGCTTAAAGATAAACTGGCTCAAGCAACTACGTTGATATTTCCTAATTCTCTTTCCCCACTTGCTTTGATGGTGGATGCTTCAGATAAAGCAGTAGGCGGTACCCTTAACCAACTGGTTAAAAACGTCTGGAAACCAATTGCTTTCTTCTCGAAAAGACTCGCTCCAGCCGAAACAACGTATTCTACCTTCAGGCGAGAACTTCTTGTCCTTCTTTGTCCTATTGATCCTCTTAGTTGTACATTGTTAACTTTTTGACTACATTTGAATTGTTAATATTTGTATTAATTATAGTTTTCGTTTTTACTACACCTTCACTAATCCCCCGTGTTTCTCCCCGAACTGTACTTATGTTGTTTTACTTTATACTAAGTCTGGGCGGCGGCCATTTTGGTTTGTCCCTGCTTTTGATCGCTTGACCTGTGTTGACTGGAATTGTGCATTTTGGTTGTGAATCGAAGCACTCTTCCAGAATTGAAAACACTCTGTGTTATAGAGTGACCAATTATTACCTTTTGAACGAATCTGTACGTGATCTATCCAGACAGGATAGAATAACAGTTATTTGTGGTGATTGATTTGACCAATTGAACAATTATTGGTTGGATAGCTGAGTGGTTATATTTGTTTAGAACCGTCATCTTACCCAATTACTTTGTTTTGGTTTCAATCGGACGAGGGCGCGTATCTAACTCATCCAGACAGCTGTCCTTCACTCCAAACCGTAGTTTGGAGCTTACAGTAATTTTAATCCCATCCACATCAACTGCTATCATTAACGCCCTTTCTAAAGTGAACACAGTGTAAAATTATTATTAATGGTTCTAAGTTTCAGCTAATCATCAACAGCCTCCTGTCAATGTAGGACTAAATGTAAATGTTTGCACACTGTTTGCACACAATTTGAATGTCCACATGAAACACAATCATGAAGCATTGTAATCTTTTTGATAGTCTTTGAAAGTGTTATATTTATTATATGAGGCAACCCACCCTCCTAGTTTCCTACTAAACCAAAATTTTTGAACTAAGAAATACAAGTGTCAAAAATTTGCAACTAATCCTACACCAATAAAATATCAGTGACAAAGCAGTTTATTCGATTTCCGTTTAAGTTATTTTTTATTGGTTCACATAACAATGTTTTTGTTCCAGCATACAAATTTTTTTAAAACTTTTAACATCGACTTGTGGGAAGTAAACAGGTTCTAAACTTGAGTTTATTCAGTTCAATTACATGAAGAAGTGTTTTTAAGTAATCAGTGTGAGGATTTGTGGAAATAGTAGTATTTTAACCGTTGGGACTTCTCAGAAGTGCACACCCACGACTCCATACACGGGGCTCAAACCAAGGACCTTCGGTCTCACATGAGAACGCTTAACATTAAGACCGCTGAGCCGGCATCCAACGGCATTAATGTCTAACTTCAATCAATCCATGAACTCGCGTAACCTTTCATCCATTGTCTGAGGTGGATAACCGTCTCACACCCAACACGAATTTGATCCCACTGGTTACGGCTTCTCACTAGAGCTCCGGGAAACCCATCTTGAAGCTGGTCACTAGTAAGCACATGATTGTTATCAGTATAGGGATTTGTGGAGATTGACTGAAGTTGGACATCAGCACCTTTCGATGCCGACTCAGTGGTTTAGAGGTTAGGTGTTCGCATGTGACACCTAAGGTCCTGGGTTTGAACCCCGTGTGCGGAGTCGTGGGTTAGCACTTTTGAGGAGTCCTGTACTCGGACAGAACGGCCATCTAGTGCTTCCAAGTTATCACTGGTGGTCTCTCTTAGATGGACTCGTGAATTCCAACTTTTGAATAATATTAATTGGCAGAGTTTTATTAATATACTTTTCTATCTGATCCAGATTCCTAATTTACTCCACGAATAATTATTTTTCCTTTTTTTGTGAATACTAATTATGAGTGTACTATGAAAATGTACCATCTAATACGAATAAAATGATACGAACATAATTACATGAAATAATTATCTATAAAATTAGTTTAGGAAGGGTGAAAGGATTATCAGTAGTCAGATAACACAATATCAATGAAAAGTAACGCCAATAATTCACTTGTTTTTCGTTTAAGATCTGATAAATTGAAAACACTTAATGATTATTCTTATGCGTAGAATCTTAAAAATTGTATGTGCTATTCTGCCCAATACATACGAGAACTCCGGTCATAACTATTATCTTATTTAAAATACTAATTTGTAGCAATACATTTATGTCTTTTTTCTGATCAAAGTACTTGGAATTTTCCAGAAGTCATGATTTCTAACTATTCAATCAACAATAAAATTCTGGTGAAACTTGAAAAGAAATGCTCAGGAATTTCATGAAATGTTGAGTGCTGTTTTTGATAACAGTGCGCTGAAGTTAATAGGCCTTTCAAGTAAATTAAAAACTTCATCAAAAATGATGAGAACTGAATGAAAAATATGCAGTCACGGGAACTGTAAAAGTAGTAATAATAAAGCCTGGTTTTCAGGTATTCTAAAGATATTTTGAAATTTGGGAATGGGAGCAAGGTTACTGTCACAAATATGGCATATTATTAGATGATGTACCGTAATTATCATAAAACAATGTTCTTATAATAGTGAATATTTTGAACCTTGTAGTATTAGTAGTTTTTGTGATTGTAGATTACTGTATTCGGATAAACACAAGCAGCAAATTTTCCGGTATTATATAAAGAATCAACCGAACACCTTACTGTTTATTTAGATAATTTAACAGGTGTATCTATAGCTTCGGTACACTTGCCATAGTTGCTACGCCACACATGTTATTATAATTACGACGTATTCTTACATAACCATCTTCTCCCCATGATGTCCCCCAACTATTTTTAATAATCCAGTATTGTACACCGTTTTCTTCTCCATATCCCACAATCAGAACTGCATGATTAACTTCTGTAGACGAACAAGACTGGGATTGATATATGCCGTTCCTAAAAAGAGATAAAAATTACCTCCTTAATAGACGTTAATTAAAAATAATTTCTCAAAGTCCTGCTGAGCTTTAAATTTAAAAAATCGACTATGTTTCCTTTTTCAATTACCTAAGATTCCCAAAGTAATATATTAATTGTAATTTTCAGTTTATTTTTCAAGGAAGTAGAGCAGTAACGCATTATGGGTCGACATGACGATGATAATATCACTTTTAAACAAACAATCATATCTTTCTCACTCGAACTGATCATGTGCTCTCAGTGAATTTAATGAAGATAGTTATGCTTATATTGTCCGAATTAGGGAAATAACAGAGTCTCTTGGTAAAATATGATATCCACACACTGAATGTTTCATCTACAAACTTCCATCACATGTCCTTCATATTCCGTATGGTTCTTCAAGTTCATAATTCGTTTCTATTTCCCTTTATGTTCTCTGAAACTCGATCATCTTAGCCTTCTGCTTCCAGGTTTTCCACTTCGGATTAGTGTTCCATACTACTTATATCGATAGATATAAGTAGTATGCATCACAAAAGCTTAAAATAATTCAACGTAGGCACATCTGCAGCAGTTTACTTTGTATTTTATCAAATCAAGCATGAACTCTATGTTCATGTGCAAAATGTTTATACCCTTATTCTACTATGGTCCTAATGTATAATTTTTCTTACATTGGAATATGTCATTATCAAATGCTTTTTCTTGTTTTAGGTTTTTCTAAATTAACTACATGTAAAGTAACTCATACTTCTCATGTATTAACCATTTTAAACTTATGATTTCCTATTATCTTCAAGCCATTGATTACGATAGTCACGCGGACCCCAACCAAGTAGTCTGCATCTACCAACATGGCGAAAACCAGAAGTTAGTGACTTCAAGCACTGATGTCACGTTTTGGTTTGGCCGCCCCTAACTTTCTTCTAACTATCTCCATCACTAGTCAGCCTGGCGCGTCGTGGTAATCGGTTTTCAGGCATACGTAACACGTAGCTCAACCATTTCAGTCGATGAAGATTCACAACCTCACCAACTGATTTACCATGATTCTCTAATATTCTGCGTCTAACCTCATTATTACTTACCCGGTGATCCCATTAAATACGAGCAATATTTCTGAGACATCTGTGATCGAATACTAGTAGTCTACGAGTATCTCTTACTTTTAATGATCGCGTTTCGCGGTCGTAAAGTAGAACAGAACGAACTGCCGTACAGCATACTCGTCCCTTAATTGACAGACGGATATCTCTCCTTCGCCATAGGTGAAATAAATTAGCAAAAGCCAAACAAGCTTTTTGAATCCATGCAGAAATTTCATCAGAGACTAACGCATTTGGGCTGATCAGACTTCCAAGATAGGTAATTTCAAGTCACTAAGCCTTAAGTGCTTCGAATATACCGTCATGTAGATTATAATGGTTAGTCACTATTGTCTCAGTCTTCAGATGATAATACCTAGTGTTCTGAAGTATCGTCACATTTCATTAGTCAATTTGTCTGTAAAACGCCTTGCCTTCTTATCATTCAAAAACATTTTACGAATTTATTTTTTCAGTAAAGATAAAACAACATGGATAATTTTAATTTAATGATTATCCATTGACTGTTTGTATGAGTTGCTTAGATTCATCCAATATTTACTGACATCTTTTCTCATTCTATTTAGCAATATAAAAATAGCCTGCAAAGACTTACTTGTATCTCATAAATTGTTGCTCTACGTTTATGCCAGCTGAAACTGGTCCATGTTCATATAGAACATACTTCAACTGTTCTTCATCATTGAGTTTAATCTCTATAATTGATTTAGAGTAGGTTAATGATGATGATTTAATATGTTGACATTTACCTTCCTAAAATGTGAATAACAAAACAACATTGTATATTTATTTTAAATTCATTTCGTATAAGATGTTTATGATATGCATTTACGGGATCTTCAAATACAAACCAACCAAATGAGCAGTGAAATGATTTTTCATAATCCAAAATTACCATAATAATTGTGTATTAGTCAAAATTATGTATTTTTTTGTCAAACTATTCATTCAAATATTGATCAATATTCGTAATAACCATTTATTAGTTTTAGAAATCTGTATAGCAGTATGCCAAACTGTCACTTACAAATGTCGTCCCAGAGAATTCCACGTCGTGCATCATTTGCCGACGCTGGAACTGGTTGGAAAAAGCGGAGAGGTGGTTAGTGTATGACATGGTGTCGTGGTATGAAAGAAATCTACAAAGGGCTGGCTTGTGTTGGTCCTTCACGACTCCCTGGTTGGGGTCCGAGAGATGGTGCAACACAGTGGCTAGAGACGTTATCAGATATGGCTCAGAATAGAAGCCAGTGGCGATCCTGCTGTAACCTTCTTTTACTTTCTTCATAAAAGGTGGTTGCTTCTTCCTTAACTGAAAGATTTCTTTTGATTGTACCTTTTCGTTTCCCCGATTATTATTATTACGCTACCTTACCTTATTCTGTTCGTCATTGTTCTTTTTTATACGCTCCTCCCCTTTTTTCCTTCTCCTCTTCAAATTCCCATTGTTTTGTGTGGCGCATAAATATTTGGTGCCTCTTGTATCAATATTTATGTGTTCAAATAATAATAATAATACACTTACATAAAGAAAGGCAGTTGCTTGATAAATCATATGTTTATACTTCGGTACAGTATAAGACTTGGCTAGATGAGAAGTGAAGAGGAATATACTGATGCAAGGGAATGTAATTGTACTTAAGTGGTGGAGACTTGTTTATCTAGTTAGATTAAATGATCATCTTGTTATGTTGTGCTTCGCTAACCAACAGTTGTCCATTTAATGAACTACTTACTTGGTTGGGAAAATGAGTTTCTGTATAAAAGATTAAAGTTGAATTTCGAACAAGTATTTGATGATTTCCCACGGTAAATTGAAACAAAGCATTTAGACTTACACGAAACTTAAGCGCTTTAGTGATATGTGTAGGCTCTGCGTAACAGGAATAATTTTAATACTCATCAGCTAGAGACATAAAATCTGGTCAGTTTTGCACAACCTTGTAACCGATTTGTATTTAAGAGGTGAAATACACAAAGACTGAAGTACCACACGAAATATATATATATATATATATATATATACATATATCTGGTTGGTTGAAGTGTTAACGATTCACTTTCGAAATTACTTCAAAATATAATTTCTGACCTCTACCAGAAATTCACTCAAGTCAAATGCCTTGAATGACTAAATTCAATGAGGCAAAAACACTGTTCTACATTTCGTAGTCGATGGTAGTATAGTTTAAGACGCTATTAGAACCTGAATACGACTTCTTCTTCTGGAGTTGAAATTTATCACTGAAGCTTTAAAGTTTAAATTAAACGTCAAAAATTTATCAGTAAAAGAAAGTTTATTTGCTAAGAATATTAAACCTAGTTCCATTTCGTATTAATAATAGCTGATAGAAAATAATTTCATATTTCTGATATGGTTCATTACAATTCACGACGTTTCCCAACATTTATTTTATAATGGAATCTAATTTAACTGATTATTTTTCTATAAACCTACTTGAAAAAAATAAATTCATTACTTAAATGTATCGCTCAGTAGAATAATATTGTTATGCTTATATTGTGTGAGTAAAAAGCCAATTTAGATAAAGTGACATGGTAGGAAATAGTTCCAAACATAGAATTACGGTGATTTTACAGTAGTTAATGCAGAGTCAAAGGCTTATAATGGAGAGCGTTGCTAAACTGATACAATCGTAGTTGTTGTATGAAATTGAAAATAAGATATGTAACAGATAGCAAACTAACTTTTCATCTTAATCTCGGCACATTGTTAAAGCATGCAATGTTTATGGGAATTCTTCAGTATTACTTGTAATTTCACTTTTTGGATCAATGTCGAGAATAGCCTTTGAAGGGCTATATATATATATATATATATATATATATATATGATGAGTGTGTCAAGGCACTTCAAAGTATTTTGGTCGGTGAGACTTTTAAGGTAGATAATGGTCTTCAAGTTGTTATTTACTTGGTGTTATACTGATATGCTGAAGTCATCTGGACGAATATTAGTTACAACTCGGGCAAGTGAGTTGAATGTGTCTCAGTATACTGTCGACTAACCAAACTTTATTTCGGAGAGATGGCCATTGCTTTTAAGCAGGGATGGATGGTATCTAGCAATGGGGTCCAAGACACATGCCTTATCCTGTTTGGGACTCTTCAGCTGGATGTATCTCTATCCTAAGGCCGATGTTCAGTCTGACACCAAAACCCACTATCGTTCGCTTCACCCCACCGCAAATGCTACTGGCTTTATAGACTCAGTAGTTAAGTGGATAACGCGATGGCATTTGAAGCGAATGATACTGGGTTCGAGTGTCGAAGTGAACATCTGCCCGTACAGAAGTACTTCCAGCTGACGAATCCCACATAAGACGAAACGCGCGTCCTAGATTCCACTGTTAGCCAACATCAATCTTTGCTTATAATGCTTAAAGCAATGACTTAAAACAATATCAAGATAATCCGCACAAGGTGCACATATGCCAATAATAGTCTGATCAATTTCAGTTCTTAACATCAGGCAAACAATACAAAAAATGAATTAAAACTGTACACTTATTTCAACAACAAAAAAATAAAGTTAAAACATTGCCCTCATTAAGAGATTTTAAAAGCTTACATTGACTATTAAACAAAGTACTTTGAAATAAGCTATTTTTAGAATTGTTAACGTGAAAATAGATTTGTTAAGATTATATCCTATTCAGTACATGTTTTGTTTTAATATAGGCGTGACCTATTTATTACCTATTTACTACCAAGAAAAAAAACATTACAAAATGAAATCTTAAATATGGTTATACTAGATGGTAGTTGTTTAATCTGGATATATGAGTTTTAATAAATATTAGTAGAACTCTGATTTTAGAATTTGATGTTATAAGTAGTATGTTTAACAATAATAATAATAATTAAAGTAGCGAAAGAAAATATATAGTATATCGAGATGGTGGAGAAGATTTATAACTCAGGTGGATGATTTTGATGGAGTTCACCTCAGAGAGCAAAAATTCATCAAAATATATATTGTATTTCATTTTATCATTGATTTACTTAGAATAAAATGTAAACATTAGTTGCATACTGAGTTACACAAACATAATAAAAAATTCTTAATTTGTATTATTATACTAAAATGTAGAATTAAGAAATAAATTTAAATTGACTACTGTTGCTGGAGCACATCTATATAGAATAGTACAAAGGAAATAGGATGTGTAAAATAAATTTTCGAACTTAGTTTTATGTAGTACGGCCCCACCAATCAGGTAAGAGTTCCGTAATGAGTAGAATGAAGAAAAAAAGATTAATTCATAAATTATTAACTAGATGAGTAACTATGACTCTCTTAAGGTAGCTAAATACCTCGTCATCTAAGGTTTTTCGGGGCGGATCCTTATGAACGACGAATTCTAGAGTTTATACATACCTTGAACCCTAAATCCTCAAGAGTGATATGTGCACTTATTACAACTCTGGACAACTGATTTACAGTACGTAGTTCTTTAGAGGATGACAGTGGCTGTGGTGGCTACCTCATCGTGGTTCTTGCCAGGCACGTGGTCCCCTTGTAATGTCGTCGATGCCCTGTAACAAAAAGCGTCTTAAGTTGTTATGTATCCGGGTGATGCTTGCCGTAGAAATGTATATGAGCGCTTTCGGCTATATTTGACTTCTACTCACCTGCATTGGCTTATTGGTCTGTTGTGGTTTATGGAGTATGGTGGCCACCCCGTCAGGCTGGGTACGTGAAGTTGGCCTCATGGTAAAATGTGCGTTCTAGAGTCCTCTCTTGTGGCTAGATCGATCCTCTAGCTTAATTTGGATTCTCGAACGATTCAGCTGGTCTCACAAAGATGGCGGGGACTATAGGCTGTCGGCTGCTATGACAAACGGCTAGTGCATGGCTCGGCTACCTATGCCGGATCCTGGTAATGGCTAAACTCTCCTTCTTTTCTGCCGTTGACGATTGGAATGTGGGCAGTGGTCTGGTTCGGAGGGATCTGGTTGGTTCTCAAGGCACCAGGATAGAGATGCTTCTTTGCGTGATCTCCGATATAATGTACGGTGGTCATAGGGACAAAACCACTCAACATGTATTTTCCTTACGGTGAGGGAGAGCTCGAGCAAGTGGAACACCGTGTAACTCCTTGTGTTGTGAAAATGAAAGTGATAGTAGTCATTACGTAACACGAATAACAAGATTATCATATTAATAACGACAATAATTCAGTTAAGATTTACTAATGACATTTGATCTGATAAACACCGTTTATAATAGTATCAAGTTTATCAAAGTAATGGAAGCTGTTAACTGCTAACTGGTGTTTCTTGATTGTTGATATACAAACTAGTGTCTATCAAAAATTGAAAGGATTAAAGAAATAAATAGATTTCAAGTAAATGCATGATCTATCTAAGTAGATCATACTTGCTTAAAATCTGATAAACATATATCACCAGCTTTTTACGGAGACAAACGACAAACAGGTTAAATTAAACTTGGTCATATCTGTATTCAGAGTAAACAATGAATTTAAAGTGTTTGTAAAAAACGTAACTATAAGTGAAAGCAAAATGAAATGGAGATGTATACCCGAGAGTTCAATTTCGCACTGTAGTCATATCTTAACGTTATCAAACAACAGAGAAAATTAGAATGATTAAAAATAGATGTGATATAGAGGTTGATTTTCATACCAATAACAACATTAGATTTACAGTGGTAAATACCGGAAATGTGATTCCAAAAAATAGATTCCCTTATTTAATACCAAAGCATATAATCAAATGAATATCAGGGTGAAGGGACACAATTAATGTTTGGGATATGTTCCTAGATCCTCGGAATACCTTGGATTACTTGACGACAGATTAACGGTAACATTACAGTCAACAGAAACAGGACATCAAATATTTTGTTATAGAAATAAAATTCTTCTGAAAAGTTTGTCTCATATGAAGAAAAATCAACAACTAAAACTCTACATTCACTTGGTATTGTTTGGCTTGTATCTTCCCATTGAGGTTTAAGACTGCAATTGATCAGTCTGTTATTGGCATATATACATACTGTGCATACGCCTCGATATTGCCTTAATTCACAAGCTTTTTGTAAGCAATAATGGATAGTGGCTAGCAGTGGAATCCAGGACGCGCGTTTCGTCCTATTAGGGACTCGTCAGCTGGATGTACCTGCATCTCAGAGTTGATGTTCACTCTGGGACTCGAACCCAGTTCCATTCACTTCAAACGCCATCGCGTTATCCACTCAACTACTGAGTCCTGATAGCCACTTGCTTATGCAATGGGGTGAAGTTAAATTCACTTGGTATTATTTGGCTTGTATCTTCCCATTGAGGTTTAAGACTGCAATTGATCAGTCTGTTATTGGCATATGTGCATACTGTGCGTATGCCTCGATATTGCATTAATTAAAGCTCTACATATAATCATAAACCTAAAATATCAACAAATGAGATGGAGTTTAGTTAAATAAATCCTTCTAACAATTGATTTCTGAAATTTTTTTATTAAAAAAAACATTACCTTGAACATTCATTCCTGTTTGTACTACCATAATATTGATGTTAGCAACAATGTAATTGTAATCTATTTCATTGATTGCTATGTCTGAATTTATTTCTAGTTGCTTTAGTTTAACATTAAAACAAAAAATAAATCTTAACCATTTATCTAATAAGACATACATTGACTAGCTTACTTTGAAGTAGATATGTTTTCAGTTTTATCATAAACGGAATTATTTATCTAATGCTAGATGTAGACAAATGTTTCATCTTTTTCGTTGGGTTTTGATAACATTTAAATACATTTATTATGAACATATTTAACATTAAATGATTCATTCTCACGATATACTTATTATTATTAATGGCTTTATACAATATTATATTTTTGGTACAATATGAAATTCTCAGCGCAAAGTATTTCATTAAGTTTCCTTTTCTTATTTCTTGATCGACCATTGCAATAAATACTGAGTGATCGCCAGTTAGATACTAGTAGTCCAGGAATCGACATCTGAATAATGTGTATTCTTTTTGTTGCATATTGCCAGCAACTGCGATATCTCTGATTAAGCTCTTTTATAACTTGTACACCAAAATGTTGTAAACTTTTCATAAACACACGTGAATGGGTTATGAGACCAATAGACATAATGTTGGGTTGAGACAAACAAGAAACCAGATAACTTGTTGAAATATCCAGATGGTAGGAACAGGTAACCCAGATATTCAAGCAGGCACTATTTAAATATGATTAGATAAACGTTTATTATATAATTATTTCTGATTATATTTATCTTTGGTAAGTTTGATTTCGATTATTTTCCAAAAGAAATTTGCACTAGATTAACAGAGTAGATATAAGAACTATTTAAATTTTAGTTACTTAGATTACTGCTTAATTTTACATCTAACGATGATGATATTAGTTCTTGATGATCACTTGAATAAATTAAATGATAATGATCAGAAGTTTTAATAAAATAAATATGAGATTAGTATGACTAACTAAAGTAACTACTAAAAATTAGAAATGAAAACTTGAGTTAATTGAACTATCAAGTTATTACTGTAACTAAATAAAAGATGCCAAAGAGTATCAAGAATGTTTAGATTATTCCATTGTTGATACTCTGATCATTCTCGTTTTTGGTTTATATGGGTCCTGTGTAGATTACCTGGAAATAGCCAATTTACATTAATGGGATGTGGCTAGTAATGGAATTCAAGACACACATTCTGTCCTATTTAAGACTAATCAGCTAGATTTACTTGCATTCAAGCAGATGTTCACTCCGATACTTGAATTCAGTATCATTTGCTTCAAATACCATCTCATTATCCATTTATCATGAATATTATTGCAGAATTAAAACAAGTATCAACGGTAAATTGGTCAACAAGGTATTGACAGATGAACCAAGATTAATTTTTATGTGTATAAATTTTGAGTGAGAAAACAAAAGACTGGGACTTTTGTAACATGTGAAATTTTCCAGTTACTTTAACGTCAGATGCTGTTTGTTCAGTGTCTATGACATATTTGATATGCCGAACGATCTGGGGTTATTCGATTACAAATACACTGATATAAATATGAAAAATTGTGATAAGACTATCTGTATGAGCATTAATTTGCAGTAATTGGGAAATCCAATATTAGAATACACATATAACTAGTAGTATATAAACCGAAATTCCAGGTATTATTGCTTACTGACCTTAGACAGTTATTCTTTTCTTTTGTCTCTCAGTTTTGCCTTGTTAGTTACTAGACAGAAACATACAATTACCATTAAAAAATAGTATAATTATTTTTATATACATTTTATATTGTTAATCGAATAACCATAAGACTATATTTCTGACGATTTTACTTGCCCAGCAAACATCAACACTAAAGTTCGAGAATTATGGATTAATTTGTTATCTGGTGATGAATTTTAACTGTATGAACTAAATGGCAGAGTATATGTATTGAGAAAGCATTTCTATCAGCTTTCAAAAGCTAGTGGTAAACTGTATAGCAAATTTTTATGAAGGAACAATTGCCAATAGGAAAGTCTTGATATAAAATAAAAATCTTTAACACTTAGGCATATAGTTGGATGAGATCAAATCATATTTATCATTTATTTCATGTACTTAGAAGCAAATTGTATCAGAACATATTGAATAGTATAGTAATAATCCATTAATGAGATCGAAGAAATGTTTATTTATCATTGTCTAAAATCTTGAAAAGTGTATTTTTGATATTCAATTCATTTATTTACCTATTTACTTATTCCACTGTTTACTTAAACTAAGACTGGATATCAGAGAACACCGATGATCATCTCGAGGGAAACAATGTATATTCATTGTTGTATTAGCCTTCAATAAGTACAGGCGAGACTCTAATTTATGGACGAGCCAATCAGAAGCGCTTGAGAGATTTCAAAGTCACGGTGCCAATTTCAGTACCTGACGCTCACTTACAGCGGATTTTAAAGAAGCCGTGATTATTGAACGGCTACAACAGATGGGACTACTAAGAAGTTCCTTTATTTGTGACTGGGGTTATCAAATGACTGCTGTACCGTGTTCAGACTACCGTGATGGGAATGTCTTTCGATGTTATTTATGTTGGAGGAAGAAGTCTGCTAGAACAAAAACTTTCTTCGCTCGATCCCGATTGAGACTAAGACAAATCATGATAACTGTTGCAAATTGGATAACAAAAGCACCAGTAACACTGGCTGCAACATTTTCAGACGTTACTGAAACTTCATCTGTTCAGTGGTATGAGTATTGCAGGTATATATATGCAATGAAAATGACAAGTTTACACGAGCCGTTTGGAGGAGTTGGGAAGATCGTTGAAATAGACGAAACAGTAGTCCGGAAGCGAGAATATAACAGAGGACGTAGTATTAAGAAAGACTGGGTAAGTAGCAATTCCATAAATATACCTCACAGGTACTTGGAATTTACGACAGATCAACCCAAAAGGGACACTTCTAAAGGGTCGGAAACGACAATAATACCAATTATACGGGAACACGTGTAGCCGGGAACCACAATATATACGGATGATTAAAGAGCCTACCTATACCTGAATAGACTTGAATATGTGCATCATGCCATTTTGTGGACCCTACAACAGGAGCGCACACAGACAATATTGAAGCTATGAGGTCGAGGCTAAAGGAGTTCTTAAGACCCTATCATGGCTCGAGAAATCGATTATTATGGAGCCATATGGATGAGTTGCTCTACTGTATGAACTACGATTTCAGAACTTCTGAGCCTCTTTCAAAGAAGTGTATCCACTTTCATTCTTTGGTTTTTATGATATATTCTTACTTTAAACTGTCATCTGATTGGCTAATATTTTTCAGGGTCACTTAAGATTCGTTCAAAGGTCGTCCATAAATTAGTCTCGCCGCAAATTGAATTCAGCTATTTATGTTGTCTTTTACATAATATTATCATATGACATAAAGTCTTTGTAGTGATGATACAAAATGGTAGCCGAAGATAAGCTGTATTTGATTATTTCTAAATGCTCAAATGAACTATTTTTCCCATGATTTTAAACTGTATTCAACTAATGAAGCAACTTCAATTACTTGTAATGATTAACGACTTTTGATACATCATAATTCACTAACTAACATAGCTTTGTTCTGAAGTAACTTTTTTACACTTGGTTATAACTACTAAAAGCCATTCACAGTAGTATAATTAAGGATTAAATTCTCTTTTCAGAACTATAGTTAGTGATATTGACTAACCTTGTCTAATCACTAGTCAAACGATAAATAAACCATTTGTTGGCGATAAATATAGTTTTTTTCTTTTCAAACAGTTATGTGAACATACTTTCTTGATATATATTAAAACAACAATAAACTGAGTGAAAAAACAACTCACTTTTGTCAAATAAGGATAACTTTCTTCTGATTGTATTCCATCTTTTTCAACATATCGAAATGCATTATTCATATCACCGCCTAAACAGCCGTGGTTACCAAATGAATGACTACAGTCAATCAATTGTTGTGGTGATAATTCAACAAAAGTACCAGTCCTATTTTTTAACTGTCCCTCTAATGCTCCAGCAGCTGAAAACGCCCAACAAGCACCACATTTACCCTGAACATAATAACAGAAAATCTCACTCATCAAAAACATAAATATGAAGAGAAAATAAGTAATAATAATATACTACCTTTATGTATATAAATCTGAAAGCTAGTTAACAGTTCTAGGTATTTCCAGTATCTTTTACTTCTTTATCTATTAATCTCTCCAAACACGATTTCCACGCAAGTTTAAAAGTATACAATTAGTAATAAGAAACTATGGCTTAAATGAGAAAATGTTATATTGTACGTTAACTAATAAGACAACTGTAGGTATCGATAGCAAGGTTGGACTTGACAGTTTCAAATAAATTGAGTATTGGATAGAGAGTTAATAATAAACATTTTTTTTGTTATATTCCAATGTGTAGGAGAATTGTGCTTCTGACGTTTTGTGACTTAGTGTAAACCACTTCTTCAGAGTAAACAAATAACTGAATTCAATTAACATAAGTTTAAATAGTACAAATGAAACAATACAGAATATTTTTTGTTACAATCAAAATCATAATAGGTCTGAATATGTTAATTCCAAATTATTCTTAGAACTAGAAAGGAAAGCCCAGGACAGAGTGGGTTGGAGAAGGCTGGTCGGTGGCCTATGCTTCATTGGGGGTAACGTGTGTAAGTAAGTAAGTATGCATGTATGTTAATGTCAACTTATTCTTAGTCAAGGTGAATTTTTATGACCTGTCACTGTGTTAATTTGTGTGTCAGAATATGCGTATTAAAAGCGTATGCATTTGTAATATAAAGTAATAGGGTTAATTTAATTTCGGTGATTTATTTACCCTGAAGAAGTGGCTTACGTGAAGTTCCGAAACGTCAGAAGTACAATTTCTCTACTCATTGGGATATAACAAAATATATAAAATACTTGTTTTAATGCAATCAACTGAAATGAAAAAAGGTTGTTTAACAGTTTTACAAATCATATCAGTTTGAAGAAAAATTTATTTCCACATTATTTTCATTACATAATCACATTTCGATTCTAGAGTTATTTTCCATTTTATTTTACTGATTGAAATAATTCATAGCTGAATTCATGAGTCCATTGCAGCTAAACTATCATGATAAACCTGGAAGCACTGGATGGTTGTTTCGTCATAGTATGGGACTCCTCAACAGTGCAAATCCACGGTCCGACCCAATGCTAGGACAAAACGGCCGTGCAGTGCTTCCAGGTTTTCCATGGTGATCTAGCTTCAATTGACTCATGAATTCGACTATAAAATTATTAAAACCCCTTCTGAAATAATCTAGTCACAATCTATGAGGTATAAATTACAAAAATAAATAAATATTTTGTTGGAAATTGTTTTTTTCATTAGTAAATTCTAATTGTAAATGTCAGTTTTAACTAGTTATCACCTTGATATATTATTTGAATATTCCTTCTTAAATGAATATTCTTCAAGGTGAAACATTTCTAGGATCATTACAGTTGCATTCCATTAACTCTTTTTTTTTCAATGTAAAATTTGATTTTAATTTTAAAATTATACCAGTTTTTTTAAAAATTCTTTGTTAATTAAATTCTCCAACTGCATTTACCAATTCACATGTACGTGCCAAAGCACATACATTGGAAGAACTGAGAGAAGAGTGCATGTTCGCATTTCTGAGCATGTTCCAAAGAACTTGAGGCTGCGAAGGACTAGGACTCTCAACAGTGCAATAGCCTGGCATTTACTTGACACTGGGCATACCATCGACATCCCGCACGCTTTTAAAATTATCAACAGACAAAGAAGTACGACTGCTCTCCGTTTCACTGAAGCGATCGCGATAAAAAAACTTAAACCGGACTTATGTATTATTTGGTTGTAAGCAGCTGACGAGAAACCTCGAAATATCATGAATTCATACTATTCTGCATCAATATTTGTTCTTGCTTCATTTAATTAAATTCTGTTCGATAAACATTCTTGTTACGTAACAAGACGAAACATCAGTGTAATTATTTATTATCAGTATAGGGATTTGTAGAGATTACAGTATTGTAACAGTTAAATTCATGAGTCGATCTAAGCTAGATTACCACTGAAAATCTGGAAACACTAGACGATCGTTTCGTCTTAGTATGAGACTCCTCAGCAGTGAGCATTCATGATTCCGCACCCAGGACCTTTGGTCTTACACTCAAAATCTTAACCTCTAGACCATTGAGACAGCATCCAACGGTGTGAATATCTAGTTTCAATCAATCCATGATTTTGCACAACTCTTTATCCATTTTCTAAAGTGGATAACTGTCTCACACCCGACATAGATTGAACTCCATTGGTCATGAGTAATTTAAGAATTATAAATTTAACAGTCGATAAAAATTGAACATACATTGAATATTAAATTCAGTAACAATCCATATAAAAGAAACCTCACCTGTATTTTAACTTTACTTACAGCACCTACTTTTCTCCAATCCCATGAATCTGGTATTTCCTTTAATATTGTTTCATTTAAAGATTGTTTCAATAACATTTGACTTTTTTGTTTATGTTTATTTAAATATTGACTTAAATTTGTTAAATATATTGTACTTATATGACTCCAATTTAAATCAGAGAATTGATTTAATCCTATTGTATATAATACTAAACCTTTATCATACATTTGATTATGCTGTTTCATAGAATGTAAATTATACAACCAATTTTCACGATGTTCATTATACTCTTTATGAGTAGAATAATTTTTATGATGTAAACTTTTCCATTGTAACCATAATAAATCATCATCATCATCATGATCATTATCATTGTCATTAGTAGTGTGATTTATATTCTGGTCGATTACACCATAGCTGCTATTATTATGAATGTAAGTATGGTTTGGATAGACATTTACTATTAAATGTAAGTAAAATAACAATCTAATCATGTTTTGCAAATTAAATACGTTTACTTGACTATGTAACAACAATTAGGCCAGTAGTTAATGAGACAATCTTTTTGTTTTAATTTATAACATCACTAGTAGTATGTAAGAATATTAAATGAAAATGCAAAATATGCCTAATGAAAGATAAAGTGAATAATATGACTGTGAAAAGTTAAATATTATTATATTTCATGTATTTTATATATATATATATATATATATATATTTATCAAATATAATACAGTATACTTTCATATAAACGTATTTAATTGAAATTCGAATGAACAATTCAATTTATACTTCCTCCCTATTATTTACAGAAAATTTACCGATGTTACTCGAAGGTCAATCGACGGAAACCAATGGTTACATACTATTGTTATTATATGAATATCTCTGTATGCGATGGGAGTAGAAATTCTTTTTTTGAAATTTAAAAAAAAAGCGAATAAAATATTTGATTAATAATTGGACATAAAATATTTGTTTATATTTACGTAAATAATAAGTTGTTCGTGATACTTATGAGTGACTTGCTAATTGGACAATGTTGTTTATTGAATGACCTAAATAGATGAAAAACATAGTAGCTTGTGTTATTTACCCGTTAGTGGATAATCTGTTGAAAGGTTTATTGAATCAAAGACAAATTCTTAAATTAACTAACTCAAACAAACTGTTAATATATTCACTCATTTCTATCTAACATAACTAAGTATTAAGAAATACAGCAAGCGATGAAAAAGTAAATCAAATTATCTTCGTCAACATAAACTTTTCTCTGAGAAAATATCATCTATAGTGAGTAACTGCCACAGACCTAGCATGGTTGAACTCCAGTGGTCATGGTTTCTTACTAGAAGTTTGATAAATACCTCTCGAATGTAATTTTCAGAGTTCTAGTGAGAAGCCATGACTAGTGAAGTTCAACTGTATCAAATATCATCTATTTCACTTCTCTATACAAACAATCTAGTCAATAGGTACAACAAAGCTACGCAACTTAAATTATAAATAGTATTTAGAGGTTACATAACATATCATCAGTACATTTAAACACATAAAATTCACATCAAAGTTTAACTTCGTTGCATGATTTAAACACATGTTATTTGATTTGATATAAATACTATCTAAAAATAGTAAATAAAAAAACCTTGATTCATTCTAGGACATAGATATAACAAAAATTGTAACAAATATGTTTAGATGTTTCAAAGAATTTGAGACTATAAGGTGGAGTTGCTTTAAATACTGTAATAGTTGACAGCGGGTATATTATTAACGTTCATCTATTCTTCAAAATGATCAACAAACCAACCCAGCTTCCCTTCATTTCGTTAAAGCAGAAACTCATACAAAACTTATGTGTCCAGAAAGAAAAATGTTGTTAATTTATTATTGCCTAGGTAAATCCATATTTTTCATCAAAGCTACATTTAACTATTTTTATTGTTATTCAATCTTTCCTAAAACTAATGTTATTTGATCGATATTGAACCTAACTTTCCATTTTTCAGTGTTTTCACTCGCCTAGTCCTTAAAGCTTATATAAATTCTTCAACTTCATTATAATTATTACACAATTCGTCTTGTCAAATTTCACTTAATTATTGCCTCACTCCCTCTGTGTTAAAACGGAACGTACATCCATGATTCCACTGTTAGCCACCATCCGTCTTTGCTTACAATGCTTGTGACTTAAGGCAAAATTGAGGTAATCTGCACAGGATCTATATATGCTAATAAGAGACTGATCAATTTCAGTCCCAAACATCAATGGGAAAATTCAAGCAAACAATACAAAATGAATTTACATTGTTGTTCTTCCTGTCATTAATATCTATTACTTCGTATCATATTATACTCAATATTACACTTTAGTACAAATATGGTTGTAAGCGTCTAGAGAGAATTGACGAAATATATTTATTTATATTATTCTGCCTTTACTTTATTCAAACAAGAAATTATTTTAAACAGTATCAGAGGATATGAGTTACAGAGTCCTGGTTTCTAGAACAATTGTCAAAGTGTAACATTTCTAAAAGATATTGATGCTGTTTGGTTATTGTCAATTAAACTCATCAATAAACAATTTTTTTATGAGTACAAAGGGTTTGGGGTGAATAGTAAGTTTGATAGTTTACATCACGGACTCCAGTTAATTAGATAACTATTGAAATCTAGGATGCACTAAACAGCTGTTTCATCCTTTAGCAGTCTGAATTCATGACTCTACCCGAGACAGAACTTGGAACTTTCCGCTTTGAAACGAGTCAGCATCTAACGGTTTATATATTTTTCTTTCTATATTTAGTGGTCAATGAAACTAAGCAGTTATGTTTGAGTTTCTAATAAAAAAGTTTGGACTGTAAGATTATTTCCGAATAAGTAGAATAAGCAAGTTAAACCAGATTATCTGCAGTTACCGTTGGCTGACAATAAATCAGTGCATATTTATTAGGGAAATCATTTGAATACAAGTTGCATATACCATAATATCAAAATATAAGTATTTCTGATTCACTGAAGACATTCAGTCACAACGTAAGACAAGGCACATATATATGCATCGGTCCAAGTTGCTATAACTTATTAGCACAACATGATGAATACCAAATTCATAGAAGCAGTTACTTCAATGGTAGTAATATATGAATCATTTAGGGTATATTTATGAATCGGTCGTTGTCAATGTGTTTTTTGGCGCGTAATTCGATAGTATGTCCATTTGAAAATGAAAGGATGGTAATTATTAGAAAAATCCATCATTGTCTGATTTGAATAGAATTCTTTTGGGAAATAATACATTCTAAACAGTGAATCTTAAGTAATAAATTATTTTTAACACAGATTGAATAAAGTGATCGTGGTCATCAATGTTTTTAAATTAAGTGATTGAAAACAGTGGATTCTACATACTACTATGCATGTAAAAGTATTTTGTTAACGAATGCTTGATGTATATTAAGTTCAATTTATAAACAGAACGAAACTAGTAAAACGTTTCATGATCATCAGTAGTGAATGAAAATGATGACCAAATATTTTATACCCAACTTGACTAATGATCAATCAAGTTATCATGCGTTACGTTCACAATCTGTAGCGTCCAGAACAAGCAATATATTTCATTTTCAATTATTGGACAACAGGTTTTAAGTCTAGTGAATTTTCGATTTACTTTAGACCATATGCATGCATGTAAAGAGCACTGACAATCAATCGATTACATAGAGTTACGATATTCGAGTTGTAATAAACAAGAACATGGAATAGGATGACAAAACACAATATTTATCTAACTGTTAAATCCAAGTGGTTAATCTGCAACATGATAGTGAACTAGTTGATACTATAGTGTTAATAGAACTATCTATTGGTGATTAAAATAGGTAAAAATCTTGAAGTCCTCAAACGACAGTCACTTTGTGCTACATGCGAGCTTTTGCACCGAATAACATAATTTCGTTCTAATAAGTGAACGTCATGAAAAATCTCAATGAATTCCACTTTCCAAAACACAGTAATAAATTGGTCTCATTAGGAAGATGTTTCAGGTGACAATCTAGATACCTTTAGTGATAAAGGATAATGTCAAATTCGGAGCAGAAAATCATTTTAGTGTTGTTAAATATTGGGTAAAAACAGTATTATACAACTGATGGGGAGCAAACTAAAGGTTTACTGTTGATTGCTTTTTTGAATCGATTATTATATTTGAGGAACTCACTGAATGCCTCAGACTTTAAAAATGACAAAATTCGCATTTTCCAAACATATTTACACCAAATTCTAATGGTAATACTGATTTAAAATTAGTGTCACTTCTTTTTGATTCTAAGCCTAGTACGATAAACGCAGATAAACTTATCATTTTCTCACTGAAGTAGTTTATTTTGAATGACAAACAGTTTACTTAAAGATGAACAATTTGAGAGTACGAATGGAAAGTGAACTTTCACTTCAGGCTCATCAATAACACAAAAGCGACATACGTATGTACACCCAACATGACCGTTTAACAAAGACTCGATTATGCAATGTAAAGCAGCATAGTGAGAGCTACAATCAAGCAGATACATAATTAATTTAATGACGTGGTCAAATAGAAAACTACGACTATGCAATGATAATAATTCATTCGATAATGGGCATACACTCTTACGAAATCAAATCATTTCTAAAGTATAACGAGAATAAATACCACAAACAATAAAATCATTGTTATTTCCTTTAAGACCAACAGTAATAATGAATTTGTAAAACAATATCTTGTACATGTAAATGTAGAAAAGTTAAAAGAAACTAGATGAAAACCATTCATATATTGATTTTATATATATTTGTCTATCTTTAAGTGAAAATGAATCAGTTATTCGGTCAATTTAGTAACCAATTCGGCTACTACACTGTGTATATTGCGTAAATGACTTTCATCTAATCCATATGTTTTACATAGATTATACAAAAAAATATCTTAACTAAATCATTTTTAAGTATACCATGTGGTGAAAAAGGAAGAAGAATAACGAAAAGTTTGGAAAAACACAATGACAATAGAAACAAACAAAAGGACTTAAAAAAAAAGAAGAATAAAAGAAATTAAGTATTGCAAATATTATCTATTATTCGATTATGATGAAATAGTTTGGATTGTTTGAATTGGTAATGAAAGATGATGGGGTAAAACGCAGCAGTATAGAAAATTAGAAACAGAATGGATTCAGAAGAGGAGAGAACCACTTCCCTATTCACACAAAGTGATGTCAAGGAAAAATCTAGAATGGGAAAGAAAATGAAAAAGTATTAACTAACCTATGTATATATATATATATACCAGTTATATGACTACTGGGCATATAATCAGATCAGGGGTGATTGGATGTCCATAATTAGACGTATGCACAATATGAAGTCACACAGTAGAATATGATGCTTTTAAATAGTCAAGCTGAAAATGTATTCAATTAAGAGATAATACGAGAGATAAAAGGGGGAAGGAAAACCAGAAGCACCGGTTACAGAAATAAATAAAATCAATTGAAGAAATAATAATATGTATTAAATTGACAGAACAGTAATCAAGAAACAGGAAAAAGCGGGGAGCAGGTCAACACTCGAATTTTTTTAATATTATACACAGGGAAAATGCTTCAGTTAAATGGTAAATTTCTTAAATAGTATACATTCCAAAAAAAGAACAGCTACACGA